CAGACTTCTTGTCTCTAGAATAACTTTTCTTTTCATGTGACTTTTTTATGAACTTCTGCTCCTATATGCAGTTGCAACCATGAGCTCTGTTTAAAAACAAGAGTGTTGAGATGTTTGTGACTGCACTATGGTCTCCAGCTCTGATTCAATTCAACATTGAGCAATGAATATAACATGATTTATTTAAAGATAACATGGTTTCTTACTCCTATGACATTGCTGAAGGAATTTAACAGCTGGGAAGCCCAAACACTGGATGGCAGTGTTGGGTGATGTCCTGACCTGTACCAAGTGAATGAGTTAACTGGCTTTGACCTATTTTATGGAAATTCATTTTGAGAGCTATTAAGATCTCTTTTCCTTGAAAATTCATTAAAAAGCTCTGAAAGAATGTTTCCAACTGGGAGTTAAAAGCAGACTATCCTGAAGGATGGGGGTTTTTTCCATCTTCCACAATCACAGAGAGACCAGAAATAACTTATAAATACTGGGTTAACTTCATGGTTAGCTTTGGGAGGGTGTGTGGAAGATATGAGCCTCTCATAAATGTCTCTCTGACCACCACATATCCTTGTCTTTATTGATAGCTCTTGGTAGCTTCCTGAAGGGAACACCTGTGGAGGTATTTGGGACTTGAAGGTGTGGTAATCTGAGTCTCAGCTGTGTGGCTCACGTTGATTTCATTCATATTCATCCAGGAGAAATCAATATTTTTTACATGTGTTTTGTGTCAGTCTGTTGGTTTTTTAAGTTGTTTAGGAAAAATAGTGGGCTGTGTTTGAAAACTAGCTGTTTGTATTATAATCATTCAGAGGGTTTTTTGTATTATTAAAGTTGTTATTACCCATTGGTTTCTGGATTGAAGAGTGTCTCTATTGGTGATCACGCTTGTTACCTCTTTGGGACAGAGAAACCTGTAAGCAGCTCCGAGTTCAACACAGAAGGAGATGTATTGTTTTCTTTTTGACTTGATGTGTTTTGTAGGATTTAAAAAAAAATTAAAAGCTGGTGTTCCACTTATAGACTGTAGAGGCAGAAAATTGATCTACCTATCCCTGCTATACAGGAGGCTTTGCATGGTCTCCTCAGTAACTCCTGGGCCTGGTGTGCAGGCTGAACACTCTGAACTGCTTTGTTAAGGCCAGAGGTTGCCTGGTTGGGGAGCTGTACTGAGACATAAAGGGCTGTAAAGCCCTTGCTTAACTCTGCTTCCCAGTGACCTCTAGTTCACCAACTCCTCCAGCAAGCTGTGGTTTCATACCCAGGTCCTTCTGGCTTTTCTGTAAATCTGCCCTTGTGATTGCTGGGCTGTCAAATGGTGGCTGGAGCTCAGCTTGCAGGTGGTCACTGCAGGTGGACTGATGCCTCTTCAAGGTCCATTGATGTGTGCTGAGAAGTGCCCTTGGTAAGATCACTCCTTGAATTGTCACTTTTGAAGATTTTAGTTTGACAACAATCTTATTGCTCAACACAAAATCAGGCCAGTAAGAAGGGGAAACTTTTGCATCCTGAAATGAAAATATTGTTTTCATTTTTGCATGTTACAAAGTAAAGCTTTGCCCAAAATAAAAAAAGGAGGAATTTCTGTAGAGAAGTTGTCCTGAACCAAAACCTGCTTTTGAGCATGTAACATATAAATTGTGTGGCTGATGGCTGAGCCTGAATATAAAAATGTTATAGTCGGTAGTTTCTCTACAATGGATGAGATCAGAATTCTGTTTGCAGACTTTGAGCCTCATTACAAAGCCTTTATCTCCTTTCTCCTCACTACTCATATATTTTTTGTAATTTTAAGTGTTTGCTCTGTAGGATTTAAATATACTTCTACTGGCTATAAACCTACAGGAAGGGAGGGACATCTACCAGAAAAAGGGAGTTTTTAAACCAGTAAATTTGAGTGTACTGCTTCCTTTACTTTAAGTTTTGCTTTTATGTTGCAAAGAATTATCAGGAAATGTCACATCTGGTATGTTTCAGAAAAGCTGCAACAAAGTTATTTTAATAAGAAAAATGAATGCATGAATTATTTAAAATAGTTGGTGCAACTGTTCCTATTAACTAATCCAGGCACTTGGAAGGCAATTACACTGAGCTTTGACAACATTGCCAACCCACTGCACAGTGCCTTATGCCAAAAGCTATTGTTGTTTTATTGACCACGTTCACCATTACATATGCATATGAAAAAACAGAGGCATTTTCATCGGGATTACCCTAATAGCATTAAGAGATTATTTTTAAAATTTCCTTGGAAGGAAATTCACTTAAATGAGATTACTTATTACTTGACTGGTTTCCTATCATGCTGCTATGTTTAGGTAAGTAGAGTCCATTAGAGTATAAAGTTTTTTAAAAAACTGATTTTATACATTAATGATTTCAAATAAAAGAGAAGTACTATATTTGTGCACAGCTTCTTTTGAGAAAGTTAAGTCGATGCTCTGGTTAGGAGAGATAACACTTTTTGTCCCCCTTGGTGGCCCCCCTAGTGTCACCATTAGTTGCTAATTACTTGCAAACAAATAAACAATTAACTCCTCGTGCCTCTTGGTGGGAGAGTTTTCATTGACATGCTAAAACTTTCTAATAAAAGATTTTAATTAATGACGTTGCAAATCCAACCCCCTTGTCAACACAGCTATAAGGACTTGTGGAGAAATGCAAGTGCAGCGTCCCTGCTATGCTGGCTGAGGGGGAGAGCATGGCCGGGCCATCGCTGTGTGCTGCCAGTGCAGCAGCAGCGCCTCAGAATCTTCACAAAGTGTCTGGCTTTGTAGAAAATAAAACCACACAGTGCTCGTTTTCAATTGAAAGTATTTTGGGACTGGAGCAGAAAAAAGAAGCCATTCCAGCTGTGAAACCTCACAGACCCTGGATGGATGCGTGCACCAGCTTGGGTAAGTCAGTCTGGTTTGTAGTCTCTCAGGCTCTTACTCTAAAAATATTTGCATGTTTGTATTGGAAACCAGTAAACTGAAGCTCTCCTTTGCTTTCTTTTTTCTAGTTTTAGGTGATGACAGTAATCCCCACCTGCAAATCCCTGTTGTTTGCTATGAAAATCCATTATTTCATGCTAACGGTGATCCTGTGCAAGAGGAAAAAGTTTTGAAATGTGAAAAATATTTTTCAGTCACTGAAAGGCTGTCTTTCAAACGGGAATTGAGCTGGTACAGGGGTAGAAGACCAAGAACTGCATTCACTAGAAACCAGGTAGGGCTTTCCTCAGTATTTAACAAATGAGTAACAATGGAGTTCAGTGAAATGTCGGTAGAAGCCTGAAACAGCTGCCTAATGCAGTGTGAGGCACTTCTGCAGAGGGAAATGCAATCAGGAACTAGGGTCAATTAACAGGAATGTTGCTAATTTCAGCAAACCTGTGTTTATGCATGGAATCAGAGTTGTGCAAACCCTGCTTGGAAGTCTCCTGTTGAACAAACTAAACCTGTTTTTCTGTATTTATTTTCTATATTACTGCTGTGAAAGTAGTGATAACTATTCAACAAGTGTGTTTTAAACTCCTCAGATTGAAGTCTTGGAAAATGTTTTTAAAATGAACTCCTACCCTGGCATTGATATTAGAGAAGAGCTAGCTCGCAAATTAGACTTAGATGAAGACAGGATCCAGGTAATTAAACATGTATTTGAACTTTTCTGTACTTACATTTATATGTACTCTCTGGTTGTATAAATAAGTAGTTTGACAGCAGTAGCAATAATATTAATAATCTCAATATGAATCAATGTACATATATGTAATATGCCCTCAATGATTTGTGAAATAGAAGCCATTTAATTCCTTCTGAAATCTAAAACCTTATTCCATAGCACTGATGAGGCAGTAATCACTATAATACTTCCACGATATCTGCTCTATTATCTCTAGTTATCATGTATGTAACTCGATCATTTACTTCCATGTTTTAAAATCATGTTTATATTATGTTTATCAACATATTTGAAAAACAAATATGGAACAGATATTGAAATAATTTGTATGACTGTCTGAGACTGTCAGTAGAGCACAGATTTGTTAAGTCAGTGTTTGAACCTCTGTCTCCGTCTGACCAAATACAAGGTCTGCTCAGGGATATTGACTATTGATTTCCACATAGTCCAATATTATAAAAATATTGTAGACATTAGAATTTGGGCTTCACCTTGATGTTTATTGAGCTTTTGATGCAACTATTATATTGGGGTTGATGGGAAACTTGATGTTGCAACTGAAGACAGAATTCCAGATGTTGAGATCCTCCAGGGTCTGACTCTGTCACTGAAATTAATGCTAGTTTTTATATTAATTGCAGTGAAGCTGGTCTTCACTTTGCAGTTAAGCTGGGGATATTACTTTCTTTGTCTGTGCTCTTAGAATTACAGCGAGTGACTGCATGCCATCATCTGCAGATTTTAAATTTGTATTGAACTTTCAAAGAGCTGTCATGACACAAAATATTGTAATGCTGTGTGAATATATTTGTTTCAAACATTACTCTGCTTTCAGTGCTCTCTGAAAAGCCTGCCTTCTCTTTTCATTTTAGATCTGGTTCCAGAACCGTCGTGCAAAGCTGAAAAGATCACACAGAGAATCTCAGTTTCTAATGGTGAAAAATACTTTCACCTCCAGCCTGATAGAGTAGAAAGAAGGATGGTTTGGTGTTACAGTACTACAACAGAGCACGGAGAATTATTAATAGCCTGTATTAAGTAATGATATAGTAATTATGATTTTATGCCCAGATTTGAAAGTTTATTATAATTTTCATTCAAATAAACTGTAAATACTTGAAGTATTATTACAATCTACTTTTTGTGGAAAAAGTGAACTTTTCCTATGTCTTTGAATAAGTATTTTCAGAGAAGTTTAGATATTTTTGCAGTTTAAAAAAATACAAACCCTAGGTTGCACAAGATTTTCAGCTACTGTGAATTACTACAGCTTAACTGAAGATGATTTGACAAAGCCTCAAGGTTGTAGAAAAAGTCTGTTTAAAGGCTGAAATACACAATATGCAAAATAGATTTTGCTACCCGAAACAGACTATGTGTTACATAGGAGTTAAATAACTTATTTATAAAGAATATGATACCTTTTTCTAAAAATTATGTTCTTTATGAAAACTATCTCAAATGGAAGGGGTAATATTCAACTGACTGTTCAGTTTGAACAATTGCCCAGTTAAAAGAAGCTGAAAATTATAGTCTTTTTATATAATTTCAATTAATTTTGGGTATTTGCCTATTTAATACTTCAACTTGGATATCTCCTCTCTTGTCAGTATAAGCATTCCAGTTATGGAAGTTGCCCTATTATCTTTTAATGACAGAATGTAGCATTTCACAGGATCAAATCAGTTGGGACCAGACCAGATATCCAGATCATTGCCATTAATTTTAGGGTGTGGGATTCATTTTTATCAAACATTACGTGAAAGTTAATTATCCTCATATTTGATATTCAGCCTGAAGTCAAGGAGAGCCTTATACAAAAAAACCCCCACCCAACTCTTCATGGCCACAATGTAGGAAAACATTGTAAGTCCAGGTTTACGCTGTTCTTTGTTCAGCAGAGCTCTGGGAACTTCCCTGAAGTGCTGAGGCCTTTCAATGAGACTTCAGCCTGTATTTCTTACTAGACATAAATTCTGCCTTCTCTCATGAACAGACACAGTATTGATCTTCATTTCTGCATGCTTTTATCCCTGATATCTGCTGTCCTATAGAATGAAAGGTAAGTTTGAGAAAATGGGACAATGGAACAAAAATCATTTTATGTAATCTCATACTAGGAAAAGCTAAAGGGAAGGATGATCTGCCTTCAGTCCTTACTTAGTGTTTTGGATGATAGGTTGAGCTATGGGAGCTCAAATAAAAACATTCCTATTTAATGAAAAATATTGCTGAAAGGCTGCATTACTTTAGAACAGGTGGTGGCCATTTTATGTCTTTGCTCATTGCCTTAATATTTATATAGAATCCTTAAAATCTTGAATTGTTTGAATTTCTCTGGGAAATCTTAATGTAAAAATAACAAACTTTGATCCAATATTGAAATGTTAATTTTCTGTGTTTTGTGGGATTTGGGAAACAACATTCTTAACTGAACTTCTGTTGTATCCTGCATTCCAAAATATTTGAGAGAACATTCACAAATAAAGCAATTCAAATTGAGCCAAACCCATTAGGAATAGTTTCTAGAGAAATTGAAATCTCAATTCAGATACCTACCTCATCTGGTAAAGCCAATACTGGGAATGCATTCTTCTGTTTTGTTTTTCTTCACACCTCAAAACATATACTGCCCATAGCTTAACCTTATTGCAGGTAATCTGAAACTATTGTCTACTTTAGTGCTGGAAACAAGGTTTCCAGCAGCAACAGATTAGACTAATCTGTACAGATTGATGCCTAAGAACCTTAGTCTATTATCTGGCAAACACCTCAATACACCTGATGCCTCCAATAATGGAACTGGTCTCAAGTGACGGAAGTCTGACAAAGCAATTCAAGAGAAGGAGTAGAATTGTAGCAGAACAATTATAGCAGCAGCCCCGGTATCCAGCTCTCAATTAGCAAATGTTACCAACAGGGTGACTGTTGGTGTGAGGTACTAAGGGTGTCCCACATAGTGCTGAGGGGCAAAAAGTTTAAAAGCATCGCTGCATTATTTGCTTCATCTTGGCTTAGCTTGTGCTTCCCAAAATAAAGGCATTGGCAGATCAAAGGAGAACTTCTAACTTTACATTTCTACTTACAAAGTAGAAATGGTCATTATGTGAGGGGGAGCTGGGGCTGCTCAGCCTCTTCGGGGGTGTCAGGATCCGACCTGATTGCATTGCAAAGGGAGTTCGTGTGGTCAAACAGGATTGTTGGTGAGGGAGGGGAATCCAGGGCTGCTGAAGAGCCTTCGGTTCTAGATTCCTTTGTGGGGAAATAGTGCCTTGACTTGTGTGACATGAGGGGAAAGGGTTAGACAGAAAATGTGGACGACTGGTCTTTCTATTTTGGGCACCCAAATCTTATACTGGTGGGGCCAGCAGTATTTTCAGGAGAATCCCAGGAAGTGTGAAGTGCTGTGTTAGCATGGCACTGCAGCTTTGCTTTCTTAGATTGATTAGCAAACTGGAACACTATTCATGTGTGTGTTGAGTTTAGAAGAAGAAATAAATGGGATTTCTTGTAACATCTGTTTTTTTGCACGATGCTGTTTATTAAGCAATGAGGTAAGAACATGATCAAAAATGCTCAGGGATCCACAGCTTTGGTGTAGCTGTGGTGTAATGGCCAGTGACTTTCATATCCTTAGGTATGTTTTAGATTTGATCATATGAATGTACTGTGGGGATGGTATTAGAGTGACAGAGTAAGTAATGCATTGCCTGTGCCTTAATAAGAAAAAACCAAAAAGATAAAAAAAGGAACAAAAATGCAATGAAACACTAGATTTTGCAAGTGTGTTTTGATCCATGTTGTGAATTGGTGGGTGTAAAGTCCAGTGCCTTGAGCAAACAGAATGTCTGTGGGTCCACACAGGCACCAGGAATGCTTTTCATATCAATTTTCTGGCTCGGGATGTTGGAAGGATCTGTATATGTGCCTGGTAAAACTAATACAATACCTAGATTCAAAGGGAAATGAATATTCCTTCTTTTTGGATTTATGTTCCAATGTTTTTCCTTGCCTAGCTCCTAAACCAGTTTTCCTCTGCCACTGTGATGGCTTGAGAATCCAATGAGTATAGTCTGTCACTCTTTTCCTTAATCTTGTGCAATTTGGAGCAAAAAGGACGAAAGTTAGCAGGTGGTATGAGATAGTCCTTTTCATTAAAAATTATCTATGTTATTAGTCTTGTTATTAATCACTATAGTATTTTGTGAATTTGCCATTTTTAAATTGCATATGTTTCAAACTCATTATCTCATTGTGACCTTTAAAAAAAACCCCTCCATAACCTTGCACCAACTCAATTATTGTACCTTTTTTTCCTCTAATCCTTTCTTGCTTTTTTAGCACCGAATTTTTATTTTACCGGTCCACGTCATTCATTTTATTCCTTCTATGGTTTTAAATGTCTGTCCACAATTTCTAGATTTTGTGGCAGTCTTTTGTCTGTGTATAACAAAATTAAGTTTTATATATTAAATGAATATATGTCTTTTAATGATAGATTTCACATTTTTAATCTTTGGAATTGTATTGCATGGATCATAGTAATACTCCAAAATACTTTGGGATTCAGTTTCTATGAACGATGCCATATTAAGGAAATTAAGAAGACATCAGATGAAGTATTCTGCAGTAAAGATTGTTGGCTATTTATTTTGCTTTTTCATACTGAATCAGACTTTAAAGTCATAAATTTTGAAACAGTCTATTTAAACTGCCTATGAAAGTGCTGGGCGGCTTCTGCCCTCTGGTGGTTGGAGTTAATAATTACAGTTCTACACGTTCATGGGATTTAATCCCGCATTCCCGAGCTGGGCTGTGGGCACAACAGGACCCTCCCGCAGGGAATCACTGCCCCTTTGAACTGTACGGACTTTGTGTCTGAATTTAAATTCCGCGTGCATACACGTGCTTGATGTCAGGCCTGACTTGCAAAAGCTCTGAGTGGTCAATAATGAACAGAACACAATGAAAATAAATTTTTGATGGTCTGAACATCCAGTCTTTTAAAATCTTGCCTCGAATATTTCTACATTTGAGAAAGGAGTTCTCAGGAAGAATTTATTCACAGAAGGGGTTGTTAACCATTGGAATAGGCTGCCCAGGGAGGTGGAGTCCCCATCCCTGGATGTGTTCAAGAAACAACTGGACATGGCACTTCATGCCATGGTCTGGCTGACAAGGTGATGTTCTGCTTGACAAAATGGACTTGATCCTAGCGGTCTTTACCAACCAAAATAATTCTGTGAAAGCATTTGGCAAAGTAGCCAGTAATTCTAAAAAAACACCCCTCATTATGATGTAAAACTTAGAATGGCTTTTGGTATTACATCTACTGATATAATTCTTCTGAGATAATAAGTAGTGTTGTCAATGCAAATGTTTGCCAGGCAGAAACACTTATTGCCACCAGGATTTTCATTTATCATTGTTTTGTCATATTAGAAGGATAAGAAATTACTTTGTGCTCTTTAAATACTGTGCATTTCTTAACTGTTTCTCTTGCATTTCAAAGCATTCAGTCCCAGTAAAATGCTAAAAAATATTATAGTGGCCACTTTAATTTCCATCATGATTCAAATATTTGTAAGTTCCCAGGTAGATGTTTGGATTGAGACATACAGTGCAATGCAATTCTCTCACTTCAGAGATGCATCTTATTCTGTGCTCCAGGATGTGGTTATCTGACTATTTCTGCAAATTGCTCTAATTGGTTTTGGCAGAGAAAGGAAGTTACAGGGAAGCATTCTCAGGAGGCACCAGCTAAGGCTGGAGACTTGAAGACATAAGTTGGCTACATGTAAATTCCAGTTTAGGAGTGGCATTTTCAGTGGTTGCTACTCTTATAATCTAATTAGAAACAATAATTATCTCTTGTAACTTACCATATTAAGAGACTTTAACTCTCCATGGAAGTATTAACAAATCTTATTCATTCCAGTCTTTTATTATCTGCATATTCATCTTATTCTTTCCAAAAATAAGCAGCTAACTCAATCCTGATATCCAACTGCTTCAAATTTGTGTTTTAAAATAATGTGCCAGACTCTAGATAAACAGAACCTTGAGTTTGTTTGTTTGAGAGGCAGGGCTGCCAGCAACAATTGTCATTCCTAGCAGGGCCCTTCCTCTGGTGTTTTTTAAGACCAGTCTTGTAGAATTGCTGTGCATTCTTTTGTAAATCTGTTATAAAATGTTTTAAAATTACTCTAGACTATTTTGGGGAATCTCTCTCATATAAACAAAAATTGCAATTCCCGTGTGGCTCTAGCCTTGGTATTTTCTTTTGTGTGTGTATTTCCCTTGGTGGGAGTAGAATGAGGTGCTATTGACAAAGGGCTTTCCAATCTTCTTCCACAATGCTTGCACAATACTAAGAATTTTTTTTTAATTCTTCCAGCCATGTTCCTTTTGTTCTGCAACAGTATCTGTTACTAGTGTCTCCATACATTTTAATTGCAAAAATTTTCAAAGCATTTCCTTCAGCTTTAATTACCCTTAGCTTTTGGCCTCAAATAACAAATGATGTCATCATGAGGTGCTTGAGCAAATAGCTCTCCCTCAGTTAAATGGGAAAGGGTTTAAGGCAGGTTATGCTCAGCGAGGGGTCCCTTAGTGTGCTAGGATTAATTTTGCAGACATTGCCACAGTATGCTGCTGAATTGCAGAATAGACTGTTAAATCAGGTTTGGGTTGTTACTCCACTCCTTCCCTCCCCCATATTTTCCTGCAGAAGGAAAATGACAAGCTGGCTGGATGGAAAGTATTGTGCTGCAATAAGAAAGGGCTGAGGAGAACTAAAACTGAGAAACTTTTGTAAAGATGTTATTTTACTAGCATTTCTTGCATTTATTCAAACTGCACTGGGGGATCTTGGTTTGCATTTTTCATAGTTGAAATCTCTATATTGCTGAAATGTATTATTTTAAAATTGAACATTAAAAGTTATTCAATTGTTGTTAGATAATAAAACGTACATAACTTTAGGGATACCGTTGTTGGTTCGGAATACTTCTAATTCAACAGAATTTTTATTGTAAAATGACTCATCCATGCAAATTTTAA